TTGCATAAGGTCCACTCGATTTTTTAAATGCATGGGCTTCATTCTACCCGGGGATATATGCACAAGACACACACACACACAAGCACATACACACCATCCAGGAACACAGCATCTGCACCTGGAGTACAGCAATTCAAAAATCCCTTCTTTACACGGAAGGAGTTTCATTTAGGGGCAGCTAAGATATCACCAATGACACATATATACATTTAGTACACACCCTGGGGGCTCCTTGAAGTTTTTGGCTTTTGAACATATTTTGGGTGTGCTGAGAACTGTTTTTTTTTTTTTTCTCTCTCTCTCTCACAAAGTATATGTATGGTTTAGTGACCAGATATCTGGCAACCACCTCTAACTCGAAATACAGACCTTTGTCAGGGCCTTAGAATATTCTACCTGTGTGCTCCACCCATATCTCACATATGTCCATTCTCCCCAAATGCTTCTCTGTGCTTCCTCGTGGACAGTAATAATCACTCCCTGTCAGTTTTATCACGCCATCATGCATCCCCAGGCATCGTATTTGCCCATTTTGTGAACCTGATACATGTTTAGGTCTCTCATTATCCACAGCCTCTCAGCTATCCTGTGCTTGGCCTTAAAGTTGATTTGTTCAAGGCCCAGGGACAACGGATTTGCAGACTTCCCGTTCATCTTTCCTCCACAGGGCCGGCATCCTCCAGAGCACAGCCATCGGGGCTTGCCAGATGGGGCTCGCCATGTAGACACAACCACAAGGCCCGTGACTTCTTCCTGTCCGTGTCTGGCAGGGGCAGGGCACATGTGATTAGCATCAGGCTGTTTTCAGATGTCTCTATTTCCAGAAGAAGAGTTTAATCATTTAGATCTGATTTAGTTTTCCTCAAGGGAGTATTTTTTGGTGAAAAGGAATCAGGCCTCTTTTTATTTCTGCAACTCCCTGCATAGCTGCAAAGATCACATCAGGTGGGATGTGGAGGTTAGGGAGGGACTGCTGAGTGGAGGAGCACCTTTCTGCTAAAGGCTTTTACCACGGTGTCGCTTAACTTGGCATCCAAGCTCTGGGTTCCAGAAGTCCTTATAAGACTCAGTGTCTTTTAGCTGCCTCTAGAACCAACTTGAGGGGGAAAAGGGATCACAGGGAGAGTTAGGATGAATTCATGTTAATAGTCACAGAGATCAAACATGGCAGCGAAGAGTGACCAGCCAGCCCATCCAGCTGCCAATCATAGCCACTTACCTGCTAGGAGGCACCTGCCACTGCTCAACAAAGAGGGTGGCATGCATATCCATTCATAGTGCTCATAATTCAAGGGTGGATCAAGGATGCAAAACAGCCTCCCTCCCAGAGAGAGGTTTATGATGTCAATTACTGGAGTACAGATTTTATGACACTGATATGGCCAGGCTCTGCCAGACCCAGGTCAGTGTCAGATGGACAAGACCTTTATGTTTACGCGGACATTTGTAAGAACACCAGACCGTGGTACATGGATCCCGTCGTGGGTATACAAGGGAATGTGCAGAACCAGATTCAGTCTCATTACTTGTCTCGTCCTAAGAAACAGTAATATCGAGAAGCTTTTCATAACTCACATAAGGAGTCTGAAAAGAGACTCTCGCTGGGTTAGAATAAAGTCTAAGAAAGAAACTGGCTTGCTTCCCTCAGATGAGATCTAAAATGGGCAAATATCAAATGCTTTTCTGGCTGTGGATATAGCTCGGTGGCTTAAGCACTGCCTGGCAAATGTAAGGTCCTGAGTTCAATTCCCAGTACCTCCCACTCCCTGCCAAAAAAACTGCATGATTTTCTTCAGTTGTGTACATGGAAACTAACCTAGCAGTAATGATCTTTTAGCATTAAATACAATGTCCTTAAACCACTACATGATTTCATCTCTAATATATCTTTCAAAACTCCAATTAAAGTGAATATAGTACATGCTGTGGATAAAGCTGACAATAACTGTAAAACTCTTACCAGTTGATAGGTATGTAACTTTGTATCAACCTAATGGTCCTTTATTTTGGCTCATCTAACTTACAAACGTGATTGCTGAAGTTGAACAGTATCATAATGACAAAGTCCAAAGCAATTTTGGCTGAGGGAAGAGTTATTTGTTGAACAAAAATTCAGTTGTTTGTGCAAGTTTAAACATTTCACAAGGCCAGCTGCGTTCATTTCAACCTTCCTTACAAAATAATCATTGGCAAATGAAAAGGGCTGAGGGGAGAGACAAGATATTTTCAAGCTTCTGAGAGGCTTACAAAACCAAAATGCTTTGACCACTCAGAGTAAAGTGGAAAGGCCACAGGCCATAGAAAGAGACAGGCTGAAATCTCAGGATTCGACAGGGTTTTTGACAAGAGGAACATGTGGCGTGGAACAATGCAGAAAATGCTGTGTCGTAGTTCGAAACATGGAAAATATGCTATTCAAGATTGTTGGCTCTGGAATAAATAAAATCCAGACTTCAACTATTAAAAATATCAAAGCGATCTACTGTGTGCCAACCCCATTTTTTTGTTGTTGTTGTTTGTTATTAAAAAAAATCCATTATTGAAACACAACACAGTTCTGGTTAAATTATCAAAGACATTTTCCATATGAAAACTGTAGTTTACATGCAGTGACTCTCCTTTTAACAATTTTAATGCACTTCTATCACAGAGCCATGGGTGCAGTTGACAGGACAGTTTGAGCCATACTTAACCTCTTGTGTAAGTCACAAATCCCTCTCCTTGTAATCACTCAACTCATCTCTACTGAGTACTTAGTACTGGCGGGATTTTTTGGATGGTGAAAGAAGAGATACAAATAAAAAAATCTTCAAGGTGCCCACGGTCTGCTAGGTGGGAGAAAGCATCCTGGTCCAGACTGTCATTCAGCCTAGGTGGAAACATTGCCAGCTAGGTACTTTCTCGCCGGGGAGCTCTGTAACTGGGAAGGTTTGTCCTACACCAAGCCTCGGAACCACGGAACCGCACAGAGCACGCCTATTCCATTGTCCTCAGCCAGCTCTTGAAAGAGCCCCACAAGGACGCTCCTTCCTACGGGGTTCTCCTCACTCTCCCATACGAACACCGTAATGCACCCCTCATTTTTTCACTGGCACAAAAGGCTGTGCTGCCCGTAGGGATTAAAAAAAATTTCCCATTAATAGAATGAGTCTCACGGCTAAATACTCAACCTTGAACTTAAAATAAAATAGCCTTTTCAGGTTAGAACATGTAGAAACCAAGAGTTAGAACATTCCATCGATTTCGATTTGACCTTTGACCTTTGTAATTCGGCCAGCAGTGACCAACGACAGATATTTAAAGGAAAGAGAAGGAACACCTCCGCCCTGCCAACACTGCACGTCCTTGAGGGAAAGGGGCGTAACTTTTCTACAGTGAAATTCAAGTGCTCTGAGACAGCAACTGAACGTCCTATGTGCAAGTATTTAAAGCTGAGAGTTTAAAAATCACAGGATTGAATCAGCTCAGGTTCCTGCAATGATGCCACGATGTCAGTTTCTTCCCAGGAAGGTAGGTCAATGAGACCAGCGCGCCAGACTGACTCCGATGTGCTGCATTTTCTCCTAGGGGGGTCACAAGTCAGCACCCTTCCAAGCCATAAATAACAGGTTGGGATGTCACCACTGCAGGGACTTGGACCTCCGATGAGGATCCTCCCGCCCCAGACCCAGGCAAGAACATAAAATCAAGGGCCAAACTAAAAAAAAAAAAAAAAAAAAAGGAAGAGATTGTTTTATTGTGACGCTTATGACACAGACCCCTCGTTGACAGGAATGACCGAGTGACTCTGGCATATTGCACAGGCTGCGGGCGAAGACGCCTTGGAGACCCTCTGGCTTCAGAAGCTGCTTTCCGGTCCTCCCTGACCCCAAGGTACTCGCGGGCCCGTCACGGAAAACCCATTACCTCCTGGTGTAGACAGTTAACAAATCTTTGGTCTTAATAAGCACCATACAAACCCTCACATTAAGGGCAATTATTATTCTAGTTTATAAATGTTTCCATGATAAAAATAGCACGATTACAGTATACACACTTAATTTACATGTAACGTATTAATACTCATAACTGAGATAAGCTACTGAACTAACTTTGGTTGATTGAAATGAATGGAGTATCTGAACTGAGTACTTGTAATTTGGTTTCTAAGTTGTGTAAATAATACAGTGCATTTTATAAATCTAGTTGGGAAATTGACTAGCACCAAATAGATACGATAAACGGCCGACCTAGTACTGGTAGTTGGAAAAGCGAAGTTTCAAAATTTGAAAAAAATAATAAAATAGAATAGTCCTTCAAATGGAAGCACATTCCTGTACGTGCACTTGGGCACGGATGGCCAACCCCAGGGTGTGGACACCACCCAGCCTTCAAGAGCAACCCAAGTGATGACCCGATAGCTTCACTGCACACGCGAGAAGCCTGAGAGAGTGGTTGTCTGAGCTCGGGTGACTGTCTGTGCCTTGCTGTTGTAAGACCAGAGTAGTGCTTGCTTATACAAATTGACCTGGTGAATGATGGTACCTGTGATATCAAGGTTCTGACTGGGGAAAATATAATCCTACCTATCTATAGTTGTTTCCTTTGAATTATTTGGTCTCTGAATGGTGAATTAATGAAGCAAGATCTGAATTTTCATCTTGAGATTGTCACCCAGTTCACCACTGAGGTAGTCTTTGTCGAAGTTGTCCTCTAGCTGGTTGAGTTCTTTTTTCCTATAGAGCGGAGTACTACTGATTTGTAATGAGTAGGTTCCCGCCACAGGCTTCTTCTTCGTGAAGTGGAGGTAGCTGATCCCTTCCTTTTTGTTGATTTTAAAGAAGCCCTCTTCATTTCCAGATTCGATCAAGTATCTGTTGTGATTGGTCAGTGTGGTCAGGGCAGGGAGGAGCTCCAGGATTCGGACCTTGTTACTGATGTGGGAGATGTTGAAGTCGAAGGTGGCCATCTTCTCCTCGTCCCAGCTTGCCAGACTCACGTTGGCTTCCGTCCCAGACTGGTCCTGGAGAGACACAGAACAGTGTGTTCAGTGCAATCTGGACACGCCATTTAGCCCTCCTTTTCAGGAAAAAGTGATTCAAATCTCACACCTACGGCTTTCTGTCACCGTGTATGGATTATGTTGAAAATGCACTCTGAGAATGTACTTGTGCAAACCACAGTGTGTTTAAACTGGCATGCATTTGTAACTCTAAAAAATATTAAACTCATGTTGGGAAGGAAGACAGGGTGAAATCACTTGTCTCTGGCGATGTTGCTATATGGCAGGTCTCAAAGTGGGGTCTGAGAGCCAGGAACCTGTGGCATCTGTTAGGTCTGAAAATTCTCCTAGGACCACACCCCCTACTATGTCAGGATCCCTAAGTGTCTCCTGCCACCCACTTTCCCACACCTTCTAGGGGCCTCAGACGCATGCTGGAATTTGAGAACTGCTGCTCTAAGAGGTTATTTTCTTTCCAAACACTTATCTCATTTCCCACAGCACAGCAGGTGGGATGCAGCTCCCGGTACCCAGACCTGGCCTGTTTCGATTTGTTCACTGATGCAAAACCATCCTCTCCCTGGGAAGCACCTATGAGCCACTTCCTGCCGGTGATGGTTTGCTAAGAGAATGCTTTTCACCTGGCTTCGTGCTAGCCTCTGCAGGGGCCCACATGTGCTAGATTCCCCAGGCCCAGAGCCAGAGGTCTGGCTAAGTATCTGTGCACTTCCGAGCTTTCCCAAGAGGCTGCGTGCAGCAACTCAGGGGGTGGGGATGGGGGGAGGCCGAGCTGGCCTGCTTCAGCCTGTGTTGATTTTGTCCAGGGTCCAAGTTCCCTCAAGCTCCACATGGTTCTTTTTAGGAGAGGAGCCGCGAGCCCTCAGAACTTGGCAGCCCGACAGAGGGAGCACTATGTCACCCTGCGTCCTGCCCACTTGCTATCCTGGATCTCAGACTCTGTCCTCTCAGCAGACTCCCGGGTGGGTGTTGGACTTTTTTTTTTTTTTTGGCGAGACAGAGGAAATGAGCAAGTAAAAACCTTTGTGTGGCCACTCCCTGAAAGCAGCAAGAAACTCCAGGAAGCCCCAAGGGCCTCTGTAAAAAAGCAGCCTAGACCTCAGGGAACGTCTGGATTTTCTCCCCAGGGAGACGGTTCACACTTTGGGACACTCCCCCGGAAACCACAGGCATCTGCGAGGCTCTCCGCCCTCGGAGAGTACGGGATGGACCCTGAGCAGGATACACTGACCCACCTCGACTTCAGCGGTCTCTGTTTCGTTCGTGCTTCTCCGCTTCCTGCCCCGCTTCGGGTAGCCATTGATCTTGCATTCGTAGCAAGCTTCTGGCGAAAGGGAGTTGTCGTCCATTTCACCGCTGACTGGTGGGTCTGGGCCTCCGCGGCTCATGCCCATCCCGGACACACAGTGCCTGCGGCAAAGGAGGGCGACAGATGGTTTCCATGGGATCTGGGAAGCAGGGAACCTGGCCCATCCTCGCCACATTGAGACGTGGATGACCTCCTGGCTCTGAGAGCCTCACCAAGGTCCTGTGCTTGACCTCTGATTCCCAGTGCCCAGTTTGTTATTTGTTTTCTCTCTCTCTCTCTCTCTCTCTCTCTCTCTCTCTCTCTCTCTCTCTCTCTCTCTCTCTCTCTCTCTTTCTTAAAACTCTGCTTTGTCTACTTTGTCTTTCTTTGCCCTCTCATTTCCCAAACCTACCGGGGCCAGCACTTCAGCACTTGGTAGGACTTACCTGGGGAAGGAACACAGCGGAACTAAAGGGCAATGGGGCTCAGGCAGACTGGGAGGTGGCAGATTAAATAAAACATGTCTTCATTTCAGGAATCAGACCTCGTAGGAGTGAGAAAACCCACTCAGGGAGCCCCTTCTGGGCCAAGGCACCTTTCCTGACCACCATATTTGGTCTGCATTCTGGACTTTGACCTCTAACATTGCCTCTGCCACCACACTGCTCCCTGCTGGTCAAGAAGGTGACTCCAAGTACAAGACGTCCTTCCTTAGCTCCGGGTGCCACTGGTCCGCCATCTGCTTTCCTGCCACCTTTCACCCCCATGCCAAGCTTCCTTACTAGGCTCCTGGCAATTACTTCTATGCTTTGGCTCTTTCATTTTTGCTGATGCTATTGCAGATAGGAAGGAGGAGCCAGGTGATAGCTGGGGCTGAGCTGGTAACAGACTGAGGCTGTGCCCCCACACACAGGTACACACACGCACACACATACACACAGTGCACAGATTGGCATATAAAGCACCCGCTCACAGCTTGCCCAACTGTGGGAAACAACTTCAAGTCATTCAAAACCACTGGGGCCATTGGCTTTGGCTCATGTGAAGTGGGATAAACAAACCGGGGCCCAGAGGGATCTGCATCTGTTGGTTTTCTTGCTTTTCAGGCATCAAAGCCAAGCTATGCAGCAAGGTCTGTGTGTTTCTCAGTGCCTTGTTTTGCTGCTCTATTTACTATTTCAATAGCCACTTGGGTACATATCAGGTTCCTCTTCCAACTCGCTGAAACATTCGCGTGGTCCTAAAATATCTTTATCTTAAAGTTCACTCTGGTGATGTGAAGCGGGGCCAAGACTGTTACAAATCCGTAGACTTCTACTACTGTGTGCTCTGGAGGCCAGATATCATTTACCTGTTTCTCCGCCGTAACCTGCTCTCCATAAAGCATTTTCCTGTATGCCCTTACGATTCAAAAGCAACTGTAATCAAAGGTTCCTATTTCCCCGTCCCACTAGACTGCGGCACATTATCCTTCCTCTTTATCTTGCAACATGAAATGTCTAGAAGCAATAAAACTGATAAGATAATGAACGCTCCTCCGGGTGCGTACCTCCTACCCACACGCTGATTCCATTACCGAGGTAAACCCCTGGCTCACAAGCTTTGCTGCCTTTCTCAGAACTTCCCCATATTCCCTATCCCAGGAGCACCACTTATAAGAAATGTGACTACAAAATCCCGCTGGCCGAAAGCCAGTTTGTAGTGTCACAATTTTTGCTGGGAAATATGGTTTTGGCACTTGGCTGTAAAGAACAGACATGGACCTTGGGGAATTGGTTTGCTATTCTATGCCGGCCTTGGGCAGGCTTCCCCGGAAACATTCCTTACCTTCAAGCTGACGCGGGCACCAAGGGAATCACTCAGTGCTTGAGGGACTTTTAAGACCTCTCGACCAACTCATGGCACAAGTGTGCATGTGTGTGTATGAGCGTGTGTCTGTAGCAGTGGGAGTACACACACACACACACACACACACACACACACACACACACAGTAATATCTCTGTGTTTCTACATAAAAGATTTAAAAATTACCACCCTTCACAGGATAGCTAAAACTTGGTAGACACCCACCCCTGGGTTAATTCAGCATGGGAAAAGACCAGAACTTTGAAAACTTGCCACTACGCTTTTAATTATGGAGAAGAAAAGGTCTTCTTTGCCTCAACTGTCACATATATATTATACCTATAAATAATTTGGTGAAATTGCTACCTGGGAAATACAATAACGACTTTAACCCATATTTAATTGCTCCTTTGGCAACTTGTGAGCATAAACTCAAGTCTGAAGTGCAAGATGGACCTTAAAACCCCGGAAAGCTCCTCTGAGGATGTGCTGCGTGGCGGATGCCAAGGGCGGCTGGATAGAAGGTGTCCTAAGGCCAGCGTGAATCCTGCCCGCCCCAGTTCTGCCCTAGGTGGACAGGGAGATGCGCACCTGGAGAGAGCCGTCTGCTCCCCAAGAGTGAGGTGAGAAACCTCGTGCAGAGACATTTAGAGCAGAGTTCCATTACTTTGTTTGGTGGTCTCTGAATTTCTAGAAATCAAGATGCCCCCCCCCACCCCCACCCCGACATATGGGATGACCTAAAACTCTGGCAGAGTTCACTGGAATTAATTCAAGGGTCATGGCAAGTATGGAGAGGTCACTCATCAGGGAGGGAGAGACGGGCTTACCCTTGTCCTATCCGGAAGTAGCCGGGGGGACAGCCACACAGGTAGCCGCCCTCGGTGTTGGAGCAGCCGTAGCTGCAGGGTGCCTGCGAGGAGCCACACTCGTTGATGTCCTGGCAGCCGCCACTGAACTGCTCGTACTGGAAGCCGGCTGGACACATGCACTTGTAGCTCCCCAGGGTGTTGTGGCAGGAGGCTCCTCCGCAGATGTGTGCGCTGAGACACTCGTTCTCATCTGTGAGGGGACAAGAACACATGGCAGCTGTGTGGCACACAGGGGAGATTTTCTAGGAGAAGTCTTCTCGGGCTGCTTGTGGCTGGCGACTGGGGGCACAGCCGGCTGCCCATGGAGGTGGCTAGGGTGGAGAGGCAGACGTGGAAGCAGATGTGACCTCTGATCAGCTATGACTCGGTGGGGCAGAGGTGGTCAGGGGCAGAGGAGGTCAGGTGCAGGGGTGGAAAGCACTGAGGTGGGAATCTAGGCCCGGCAGCTCTATCTCACAGGAAGCTGTGCCTCATGTGTTCTGTTCTACACCACCAGGAGCAAGGTGGGGTTCATGGCTGAGACGTGGGGTACAGGGTAGGAGGGAAAGAATCACATAGACCATTTCCCTGGATGCCTTCTCCCTCTGCCCTCCTCCTCCTCCTCCTGCAGGATGTAGGGGTCTGCAGAAAGTGTCTGCCCCATCTGGACTTCCTGTTCGAAAACCTACAGAAGTCCCCAGGTGTGCATTGCTGGGACGCATAGTGATTTCTGGAGATCTGCTCCACTTGGGGTTCCTCCTGCCTCCCATCCAAATCAGCCTCCTGCCCAGCATGTTGGAACCGGGCTGCAGTTCAGCCTGGCTGAAAGACACAGGGCCCAGACCTCTCGAGCTACACTTGGGGGGAACCCACAAGAGACTCAGGGCTGCAGAACCAACTGTCTGCCCATGGGGACCTGCCAAGTCTGGTGGGAAGAAATAGGAAAAAAAATCTAGCTTAAAAAAAAAAAATCAACTTGAAGGGAAAAAAAAAAACACAAAAACTGAGTGTCTCATGATTTCCAATCTGTGAAATCTCCAATATATTTTTGCAGGCCTGTCCTGTGGGGCAGGCTGGAAATTTTCTGGCGACACATTTCTTCATGGCTACCGATTATTTTCAGGCATGTGTGCGAACACACCACACTGCATGAGTACCTATTTCTGGTAGGCACAAGCAAGGGGGATTTCCCATTTCCTCACTACACAGAGAGGATGCTGGGTGTGCCACAGGCATCTACGCCACCTTCTCACAGCCCGAAAGGCAGCAGCAGAGTCCCGGCTTACAAGGAAGGAAGTGAGAATGGGGCCTGGCTAGAGGACCTCACAACTGGGCCTGACTGCGGAGCCCAAGCTGCCTTCACTCAGGGTGGCCTGGGAGACTTGGCCTCACTGAGTCAGAGCTTCCTTTCTCGGGTTACTTTTACCTGCTTTGCTAAGGCAGATGTACCTACCAAGAAAAAGAACTGTTTCTACCAATAAATATTATCTGAAGTTAGAAAACAGGGATGTAGGCATATAAATATATAAATACATACATATATGTGTGTATTTCATTATTTACATTTTTGCTCTTCTTTCCTTCCTTCCCTTCTCCCTTCCAGCTACAGCCATAGAAGCTGCAATGTCTGTGTCCAGCTGTCCCTCCAAAGCCTCATGTGGGCACAGAGTTTTTTAGGAGGTGTCTGAATCCAGGCTGTGTGACTGATTTGTGGTGCGATGCTGCGATTAAGGGTGGGTGACTGCTGACCAGTCCACTGATTGGACTGGCACCGCCCTGATCCTGGCAGATAGCATACAATCTCAGGGACAGAAAGAGGCTTGTCTTCTCTCTCCCTTGCTTGCTTTTGCTGTCTTCTGCTTGCCATGAGCTGGCTCTCTTCTGTGATGCCCGCCTGCCAAGCCACCCTGCCTTGGAAACAGCGGACTATGGAGTGAAACCTCTGCAAACTGTGAGCTAAATAAACCTTTTCCCTTATAACTTTGGGTGCTGGGTATTTTGTCTCAGTAACAAGAAAAGTAACCAAGACAGGAGCTTACCTGTCTGCACATCCTTTACACTAGGAGACTCATGTCCCCACCCACAGTCCCTCAGGCTAAAGGGTTCCTGAAGTAGAAAGGATGAACTTTTGCCCCATCTGGGCTCTTTTTCCTTTCATTTGAATTAGGGATGAGGTATGTGATGGAGACCACAGGCACCAAGCCGTACAGCAAACAGAAGGGAAGGCAGCAGATGTTTCCTTGGCTTACGTGAATCAGCTGACCTCTCCCTGCTCCTTTGTGTCCTGTCCCTGCTCTGCACCTGCTCTTGGGCCCTAGAAGTAGATCCGAGTGGAGCCTCATCAGGTTGTTTGTCCTTCCCTTTGGCTTGGGCTTGGCTGGCAGCCTGCCTGCCCCAGCTCACAGGTGCAGGCAGGTGAGAGGACATCCACTGATAAGGAGCTCTGATGTGGGCAGGAAGGCAGAAGCAGGACCGGAGGTTGGAAGGCGGGAGAGGGAAAGATATTCATTCATCACTGGAAAGACATTTTGTAAGTGTTCCCATGAACTGTACAGGGCTGGGCTACCCCGGGAGAGGATAAGCACCTCTCAAGGTGGAAATCAAGCCACATGTGCATGGGCAGGGTCGCTGGAGGTGGGGCACCTTCGTGTCAGGAAAGAGGGCAGATTTAATGGTCTGCAAACTCTGAGTCTCTATATGCATGCCTGCCAATATTCATTCTAGCCAGGAATGCTCCTCCTCCCCTTTATGTAAACTTTTCTAGTTTATTTTACTTCTTCCCCCCGAGAATCCCACGAAGTTTCAATGAAACTTGCTTATCGAGGCTGGAGAGAGGCGACAGAGTGGAGCACAGATTCAGATAAGTCAGCAAACACACAGCACTTACAGAGTACCTCTGTGCGTTCCAGCTTTTTATCGATCTACAAACACCACAATTCGGTTTGTGCTCTGCCTGATTCTTTGATCTGGTGGAGCCCAAAGCTAATGGCTCCTCAGGATATTTTTCTACACTCTAAAACATTTGCCTTTTTCTTTTATTTGGTATTTCCATTGTGGAGAGCCTTGCTCTTTGCACAGAACAGACAATTCTAATTTTTTTAAAAAAAGTCTCTGAAAACCACTTCTTAAAAGTAGATGGAGCCTTTACCACTCTGACCTCTGAAATCAATGGCACCAGCCTCAGGGTCCTGGAGTGTGAGTTAGTTGTCGAGTCAAGGACATCCCCACAGGAATCCCCCAAACAGAAAATAGGCTTTTACTAATTTCTTCTAGGACAGAAGGGAATAACTCCAACTGCAAGTGAAAATTGTGGTGTCTGCATGGAAATACCTACCCTGAACCCAGTCTTGGGAAGAGTGAGCTTCTGGCTAACCATGAGTGAGGGCCAGCAGGGCCAGCCCAATGCTCTTTCTGGGTTTCCCTAAGTCCTGAGATTTATGAAGCCAGTTTGGGATTTAGGGACATGGAGAACCCTAAACCTCTTCCAACATCTTAATAAACTTATTCTTGTAAAGTATCCAGGCAGCGGATGCTCTTCCCAGGGTCACGGTAGACTCTGGACAATAGGGCCTGCCTGGCCATCTGTGCTATCTGCAGGGTGGAGGCTGCAGGGAGGAGAAGGTTCAGGACCGATGCCCCTTTCTTTCTTTGTATTTCCTCCCATAGCTTCCCATGTCACTACGGGAACCTATGCAATGGGAAGACACAGGCTCAGCTAGTCAGTATTCAAACACGGTTCACTTTAGAGCACACTGGTGATTAAAATCAAAGACCTTTCCAATTTTCATAATTGTAAGGCTCAATTCTGATATGACTCTTCCAGCACCTAACCTGAGGAGTGCATCACTGGGTTGCAAACACAGGATGTCTTAAAAGAGGTAAGATGGAACATGGACTCTTCCAAATACCCCGAACATCTGAAGACAGCCAAGCACTCAAACTGAATGTCTCAAGAACTTTGGCCATGGAGGCACAAGACATTCAAGGAACTGTGACCACTGAGGTTTACTAAGAACTTCCCACCTAAAGTCCCTGGCCTTCTTTCAAGCCCAATAAAAAACTTGCTTCTCTTTGTTTCCTACAGACGGCCTTTTCACCCTCTGTCTGCCTGCACCCAGGCACAGTAAATCCCATGCCATGTTGCCTTTATGCAAGCCAGGTGGTCTAGGCTGGTCTCCTTCTTGTGCTATGCCTTACAATCATGAGTACAGATGTTTTCATTAACGTCAAGGAGCACAGAGAGTTGCACAGTGTAAACTCTTCTGGTGCTGGAGTCCCATGAGCCAACCCTACATACCTCCGCAAAGTGGAAATCTCATATAGAATCACACTAGATGAGAAAGAAAGTTCTTTTCAATACTGGAGACTGAACCCAGCTCCCTTCACAGTGGACTACGTTCCATCAGTTTTTAAAATTTTTAAAAAGTGTGAGACAGGTTCTTGCTAAGTCACTAGGTTGTTCAGGCTGGGCTTGAACTTGCAACTTTCCTGCCTCAACCTCCCAGAGTACCAGGATTATAGGCATGTGCCACCATGCCTGATTGAGAGGCAATGTGGATAAATGAAAACACATGGAGAATGTAGCAGACCACTTAGAATAAAGGAGACTACTGCAGTAAGGGTATCCACTCAGGAGGCAGAGATTCTCTGAGATTCTGCTAAGGTAGGCTCTGTACCAAAGAATACAGAGCTCACACAGGTCAGCCGAGCACCAAGCTTGCTGTATATTCCCTGGATGCTGGAGTATTGGAAAGACAGTGAAGGCAGTGCTTGAAAGGCTGTCCTCAATCAGGAAGCCAAAGACCTTGTGTTCTAACCCCATGCATGTCACAAGAAAACCAAGACACATTACCTTTCCTCCCTGGGACCCTGGGTCCTCACTAAGGAAGCAAAGGGTTTGGTCTCTCATGTTCCTCCAAACCTCCAATGTTTCAGTTCTCTGATATTTACTAAGAGTTATTTTTCCAAGACACTGTGGAATCAGAGATGCTCTTCCTGCAATCAAGGCAGATAGCATCATTTCAGTGTAGTGAGAGTCTGCTGATCTCCCTTAATTGTCCAAAGAGTTTAATAATCCCAAAAATATCTACTGTCTCTGCTGCCTGTTCTCTGACTCAAAGATGCATAGAGCCAAACAGAACCACTTCTGTGTCTTTAGGCCAAAGTTGTTCAAAACTGCCTCTGGAAGGCTGATATTTTTCAGTGAGAAGTAGGATTTTGTTGGCCCCGGATGTTAAGGGAACTCAAGTGTGGGCTGATGACCAGAAACCCAGCAGAAGGGCCAAGGCATGGGAGGCAAGGAACCGAAAGGGCATTTCACTCCAGCTGCTCTCAAAGTATGCTTTGTTCTAAATTTTTTTTTTTTTTTAGTTACTTTGCAGACTTTGACATCCCTTTGGTTTCAGCCAGGCTAGGGCAATGTTAGGATTCAGTTCTAATGTGTCCCCCAAGTCTCCCAGGAAGGGGGTTGGATTGTGGAGGTGTTACTGGCTGAATGTGCTGCTGGGGAACAGGGCCTGGCTAGAGCTGGATCACGGGGGCGTGATGTGGAAAAGTGTGCTCCTGCCCCGGCGTCCTCCCTTTTCTCTTTCTCTTTCTCTTTCCTGGCCACAGTGATCTGAGGAGCTAAACTCCACTGGGCCCTCCCACCATGCTGTTTCTAACTGATCATAGACTAAACCCGCAGAAACCGTGAGCAAAAATGAACCTCTTCTTTACATTGAGGTGTCCAGTATCCTGTCCGAGCAGTGGGAATGTGACTAAGACAGGCAACATGAAAGTATCTGTGGTGCCACAATTTAAAGTTCTCAGAAAGGGAGCAGGATTTGATTCGTGGGAGCTGAGAGCATGCACCACCTGCATCAAGGAGGAAGAGCACTGACCGACGCACTGGTTCCACTGGTAGTGCTGCAGGTAACCTTGCGGGCAGCTGCACCTGTAGCCCCCGATGATGTTCTGGCAGCCATGCTGGCAGCGGTGGTTGCCTTCGCACTCATCCACATCTGAAAGAGACAAGAATCACCTGTGAGCCCTGTCAGCGCCAGTCCCCAAGGTGCCCTCCGAGGTTCTGTCTACTTGCATGCTAAGGTAAACAGCAATTCTAGCAACAAATCTGATGCCTATGAAATCATTCTACCACCTGGAGCTTCAAGAGCATCTACTCTGGAGCTTTTCTAAGCCCAAGGAAGAAAAAAGCAAAATACTCAAAGATTGATGGTAAATTCCACTGGTAAAAATGATGGAGGAATCAGTGCAAAGCACACAACACTCTGTAAGATGGAGCTACCAGTTGTTTGTGTTTGCTTATTCACACCAGAATCAGAAGCTAACAGAAGTCAGTGCAATACTAAAATGCTACAATTATCATTTAAGCCTCTAAGCATACATGAGGGAAGAGCTACTCTCAGATTAGTCTACACTGGGGACTTCCTTTTACAGCCTGAACCTGATGACCAAGAATCTAGTTACTTCTCTCATAGAGCTATTCCCTACTGGATTAATAACTGAGCAGAAGGTCTGGATAAACCCAGGAAAAGCACAGGGAACAGAAGATCTGGATAAACCCAGGAAAAGCACAGGATACAGATATTTTGGCAAACATAAGGCCAGCGTGAATCTGTAGGATAGGGACCTCTGCAAACTAGTTGAGGCCCCACCTTCAGCCAGGGGTCCTCAGGCCCAGTCCTGACATCTCCTAGCAAGACCACCTTGGCCTGCCGAGAGGAGGCACCCCTGGGCACAGCCCCAGGCCTTCTCACCTTCACAGCTGGCCCCGCTCTGGTCCAGGGAGAATCCCCGCTGGCATTCACAGGTGAAGCTCCCAGGCGTGTTCTGGCAGATGCCCTTGGAGCCACACAGGTTGATATCCGAGGTACACTCATTGTTGTCTGTGAGAGGCAGGATGAGAGAGGAGGGGACCCCAGTCCCCAAGGCTCTCTTTGTATCATTGAAAAGAAAGGATAAGGGTGACTCGGGAAAGACTACAAAAGGCTGAGGTTCCATGCACATGTACACACACACCCCACATACACATGTATACATGCGTGCACACACATGCATTTTTTTAATGATTCTGATTTCTTATCCCAAGAGCAGAAGAGTAGGAAAGAATCCCTTCTTCCTGTCCGCTCACCGATGCAGGCTGTGTGGTGTTGGGTGAACCCAGGAGGGCATTTGCACGTGAAGCCACCAATGGTGTTCACACACAGGAACTGGCAGTTGTGCTGCTTGGTTGCACACTCATCGAGATCTGCAAGAAGAGGAAAGGGCACTGCAGTCTGTGGAGAACACGGGACAGTGCTCTGATTTCTCTTTCTGCTTTGTTTTGTGCTGCTGAGGATCAAACCCAGGGCCTTCTGCAAGCTAAGCTTTAATTCTGATTTCTAATTTTAAAAGACATCGGCCCCAGGGTTAACACGGACAGATACAAGAGGAATTAATTTAGACAAAAAAAAAAAAGAAAAAGAAGGAAGGAAAAGAGAAAGAAAGAAAGAAAGAAAGAAAGAAAGAAAGAAAGAAAGAAAGAAAGAAAAAATAGGGGCGGGGGCATTTAGCTCAGTGGTATAAGCGCCTGCCTGGCAAGTGCAAGGTCGTGAGTTTGATCCCCACCCCCCACCCTGTACAAAAAAAGAAAGAAAGAAGGAAAGTGAGGGAGGGAGTGAAAGAGAGGGAAGAAAGGGAAGGAGAAAATTAAGAAAGACAAACAGATAGAAAGAAAAAAAGATGCTCTTTGTAGGATTCAAGGATAATCTAATTCTCCTTAAGTAGAGAAACAGGAATTTATCAGCAAAGGACTTTCAAATAAAGTCAGAAGTTTTTGCAATATTATATATAAAAAAGAAGTGATTCTGAAACTGATTTCAGAGCATTGAAAAGATTTATTTAATGTGAAATATAAAAAAGAAATGTTGAGTCTGGAGATTAATTTGTTTCCTTAGTTCTTTTCTGTTTGCTGTTTTTAAACTACTCAAATGAGATAGTCAAAAAGAAATCTGACTTTTTGGTTAGGGATTCTCTTTTGAATAAAGCCAAATTGAGCAATCAGGAAGGGAACAAAGGAAAGGAAAACCTCATTCTGATAAGTTAAGAGCTTTGAAAAACAACGCCCACAGTCTTTACCCAGCCTTACTTCTGCCAGTAAAATCCTCCACCCATCCAGGCCTCTCCTAAGGAGTATTAGAAAGATCTAGATGGTAAAAGTGCATACTAACTTTTGGTGCATTTTAATGACACCTTGGCAGTAGTTTTGCATTCAGAGACTAATAACACAGTCAGCCTGCAGAGAGCTCAAGGGAGCTGGGACCAGGGCTGGGCTCCCTAGAGAGCTGCTGGTGAAGCACAGCTACCCAGGGTCATTTCTGGTGACAGCACCTCTCCACACAGGTCACTTCAGGCTCCCCCAGCACTGGGACGGAATCACACTTCGGAGAACCTCCCTGTGCCCCACAGGGCTTACTTCTCCTAAAAGGGGTCCATCCAGTGCTCTTCCACTGCTAAGAAGCCAAACAATGCCCCCTGGCTGACCTTCCCCTCTAGGACCCTCGCCAAGCCATTGTCACACAGAGCAGCGCTGGCCTCTAGGCTCTCCTGCTGTCCCTTTTCTGGATCCCACCCTTCCCTCATGGGGCAGGTGCTGGTCCCTCATCCCTGCTAGGATCCCCATTTCGCCTCCTTTCTTCCCACTTTCAGAGGTGCATGTATCTTCACTCTGATACTCAGTCTTGCGAGCCAGGTGTGGGAGGAGAAAGCAGAAGCAGACTGTGAGGTGCTTAGGTAAGAACTGCACCGCTGCTTTCTGCTCTCCTAAAACTGTTGCAGGCAGCTGAGTTAGTTAAAATATTACAGGCAGTGAGACAGCGCTAGGTCCTCAAGAGAGCCAGTGCAGAAGCCAGATACCTTGCAACTGTGGGGGAGACAGGCACCTCCTGTTGTGGGCCAGGCCAAGACAAAGGATCAAACAAATGCATCACATCCTAAGGACTGACATTCTAAATAGTTCCTATCATCCTAGGAAGCCAGGGTTCTCCATTCCAACCCCACACACATCTTGAACCCATGGTTTTACTCTATAAAAGTCCCTGGAAAAGACAGAGTCGGGGGCAACC